ATGGTTCACTGCAACTTCTGTCTCCTGGGTTCAAGCTATTCTCCTGCCTCAGCCTCCTGAGTAGCTGGAAGTACAGGCATGTGCAACCACACCTGGCTAATTTTTGTATTTTTAGTAAAGACAAGTTCTTACTATGTTGATAAGGCTGGTCTCGAACTCCTGACCTCAAGTGTTCCACTCGCCTCAGCCTCCAAAAGTGCCGGATTACAGGCATAAGCCACCGTGCCCGGCCTATATAGATGCTTTTTATATTCCAAAAATTATATGAAGCGCCTAGAAATCTGGTATGTCTTGGTATAAATGCTACCAGTCATAATTTTGGTTCAGAAATAACTAAATCTCCTTGTCAACTGTGTCATTATTATAATGAACTCTCATCAGGTTTTTAGCCATGGCTATTTTAAGTCTTGCTATCCACAGTTACTCTGTTCTGACACTTTTTCTGAAAACTCTTTGCAACCAATTATAATTCTAAAGTGCTGTGTCTTAAAAGACGTATATGGGAAAAATGAAATGAACTCTAACGAATACAGGTTTGAGTTCATACTATTGAACTGAATATCTAAAATTCTAATAAATTTGTGTAACTGCTAATCAAAATCAAACAGCAAAAATTACACGAGACTGAATTGATAAAGAAGAATAACCACTTTTTATGGCTTATTTGAAACACTGCTGGTTCTTTTAATGTTTTGTTTTCCAGATTTAAGGAAACTGTTTTAAACTTTTTATAACTTACAGCAATTTGGTTAAGTACATATATATACGTGTATATATATATATGTGTATATATATATATATATATATATATATATATTTTTTTTTTTTTTCAGACGGAGTTTCGCTCTCGTTACCCAAGCTGGAGTGCAATGGCGCAATCTTGGCTCACCGCAACCTCTGTCTCCTGGGTTCAGGCAATTCTCCTGCCTCAGCCTCCCGACTAGCCGGGATTACATGCACACACCACCACGTCCAGCTAATTTGTATTTTTGTTTTAGTGGAGACGGGGTTTCACCATGTTGACCAGGATGGTCTCAATCTCTTGACCTCGTGATCCACCCGCCTCGGCCTCCCAAAGTGCTGGGATTACAGCCTTGAGCCACCGTGCCGGGCCTAAGTGTATTTTTGTAATAAAAATAAAACATCTCTTTTCTTCCCAACAGGATCCTTCAAGAATTTGCAAACTATTCAGGACTATTCTTATTTTTATGGCAATATCATTATTTGCATAAGTTCAATAAGTATTTGTCCTTTAAATAACAGGATACAACTGGAAACTGGTTATGTTACCAAGGCTTCACTGGAATGCCGTATTTCAAAATGTACAAACAATGCCTGGCTTAAAGCATTCCCTGCCTTACAGTGAGTAAATCTGTCTCTTCCTGGCAGGCTCAGGAACCTCCAGATGTTGGATGCAGGAGGCAAAAACTAATGTCTGCCTTGGTTTGCCTTCCTAGCAGAGACATTTTTAAAACTCTAACTTGAGATTCCTTGTCAAAATTTCCAGCAAAGCAAATTTAAATATGTGGTTTTAAATATGTGGTTAGTCAGGCAGACTGGTCTTACTGTGATTATCTTTGGTAGAAATGGGAGTGACTGTAGAGAAGAAAATTACATTTCAAAAGAAAATTCCAATATGCCCGTCAGACTGTAGCCTTGTTTATTAAGTCTTCATTATCTGCCTGTACATTGCACTGAATTCTGAATTCTTTTAGTTTTCTCTAATATCCAGCTACAACTATCCAATGAAGAACTGCTCACTTCCTGAAGCCCTATGAGCTGAAGCTGGACAACTCCATGTAAATGTCAAGGAACAAGTCTCATGCCTAATGCATGGGCCACGTACAGACTTCACTAGGATGGCCAATGCCATAACCAGAGACATTTCACAACTGCCAACCATATCAGAGCAAGACTCCCTCTCATAATAAGACTCTTACCTTCCTTCATTTTTCCTGACTTATGCCTAACTCTCACTTGGTAGGACAACACTGTAGTTCAAATTTCACCATCAGTAGCCTCTGCAGGTAACTTGCACTCCCTGCTTTAATTTAACCCAGTCATGGGATGCTAGATAACCTACTAACTCAACAGAGAATAATCTGTGCAGTTGATGATGCTTCTTGCGGCACACAAATAAATACATCAGGTACTGCACAGCAGACTACTTGGTTACAACAAGGTAGATACCTTGTCTGGCTATTTGATTTTAGTTGGTTCAGTTCACAAGGGCCCTAGCTGAGGAGCATACTCCACCCAAACTCTTGGTATTACCCTCCTCAGAGTCGTAACAGCAGTCTCCCTGGTGTGCTGTATCCCCTTAAAAAGTTTTAAATGTTTTTATACACCAACTTGTCAAACGTCTAATGATCTTGCTCCAGCTAGAACAAGAAAAACAAAACAAACAAAAAAAAAGATGTGTGATAATAATGACACCAGAACCTATAAAGTCTATCCTGGGACCAGAAACCCAAAATGATGGTAGCTGAGAGTGGTACTGATGCCCGAAGGTTTGGTCAGGCCCTGGGTGAAAGCCTGACAGAAAGGGATGAATAGTTACATAAAAATTATAGGAGGCCACGCTGTTTTGGACTAAGTGTCTCTACTAGACCCCAAAAGACCAGACTAAAACTCAAAATGCAGTCATCTATGTAGGTCTCGTTACTAAACCTAAACCTGGGAAGTTCATTTGATCTTCCCAGAATTCGAGAGAAAGAGTGAACAACCAATTTCTTAAACATGGCAGTTTAAATTTTCAACGGGTATCTTATGAATATCCCTCTGCTTTAATCCTTATACAGGAAAGGTGACCTGAAGAAGCCTCATATTAACTAGTCAAAACAAGTTTTCTCTTTTCTGTCTCCCTGTCCCAAACTGACAAGAAAAGTAACTTTGAAAGGACTTTGCTTCTGCTCTCTTCAGCCCTTCTCTGTCTATAAAGCCAACCACTTCTGCTCAGCTCAGTGGAACACCTACTGAATTTTATGGAGAAGTGTTGCTTGGTTCTAGAACCACAATAAAGCCAACTAGGATCTATAAACTGGGGGGAAAAAAAAGGCAACAGACTTGCAGTTTAAAAAAATAGGACTTTTTCCTTTTTGAGAAGGAGCTTTGCTCTGTTACCAGGCTGGAGGGTAGTGGTGCAATCTCGGCTCACTGCAACCTCTACCTCCCAGGTTGAAGTAATTCTCTGCCTTAGCCTCCCGAGTAGCTGGGATTACACGTGCCTGCCACCACGCCCAGCCACCTTTCCCCTTTCTCTGGGCTGTCACAAATCCTCCCCTGCGCCCCAGCAACACACCTTGGACCCCCCAGGCTGGCTGCATGCCCCACACCTGGGTCAGGCCTCTCACAGGGACTCTCCTACCACTGTAATAAAGAGGAGAAAGCCTCACTGTTAGGAACAAGCTGCCTTAGAAAACCTCCTCAGTGCCAGCTGACCCTTTTCCCCCACTTTGATTGCTCTGCAGCTGCATTCCTGAACCCCTACCTAGGCATCACATCAAGGCTGTCAGTCTAACTACGATTAAGCAAAGCCTGATTAAAGCCATCAAGGCAACTCGAGGGAGGATGGATTTTTTTTGTATTTTTAGTAGAGACAGGGTTTCACCATGTTGGCCAGGCTGCTCTTGAACTCCTGGCCTTGTGATCCACCTGCCTCGGCCTCCCAGAGTACTGGGATTACAGATATGAGCCACTGTGCAGGGCCAAAAAAAAAAAAAAAAACCAGTTTAAAACTACAATAAAAGGGCTGGGTGTGGTGGCTCATGACTGTAATCCCAGTACTTTGGGAGGCCCAGGCTAGCGGATCACAAGGCCAAAAGTTCGAGACCAGCCAGGCCAACATGGTGAAACCAATCTCTACTAAAAATACAAAAATTAGCTGAATGTGGCAGCACACACCTGTAATCCCACTACTCGGGAGGCTGAGACAGGAGAATCCTTGAAACTGGAAGGCGAAGATTGCAGTGAGCCATAATTATACCACTGCACTACAGCCTGGGTGAAAAAGTGAAATTCCGTCTCAAAATAAATAAATGAATAAAAGTACAATGAAAGAAAAAATGCCATTCACAAAAGCAACAGAAAAGCCGGGTGCAGTGGCTCATTCCTGTATTCCCAGCACTTTGGGAGGTCAAGGTGAGCGGATCATCTAAGGTCAGGAGTTCGAGACCAGCCTGACTAACACGAAGAAACCCCATTTCGACTAAAAATACAAAAAAAATTAGCCGGGAGTGGTGGCGCATGACTGTAATCCCAGTTACTCAAAAGGCTGAGGCAGGAGAATCACTTGAACTCAGGAGGTGGAGGTTGCGGTGAGCTGAGATCATGCCACTGCACTCCACAGACTGGGCAACAAGAGCAAAACCCCGTCTCAAAAAAAAAGGCAACAGAAATTATAAAATAACCAGGAAAAGCAAAAAATGTTTAAGATCTATATTAAGAAAAATTCAAAATGCTTTCTATCTGAGGAATAGAAAAGACAGCTTGACTACATACAAAGACAACATTTTTTCTTGCTTAGAAAGAGAAGTATCATAAAAACTGCTCTATATATAAGATTTGTTTCAGATTAGGCAAACTGATTTTATATATACACAAGTCTACTTTTATTTTGGAACTAAAAAAGTTGATGGTAAAATCCATATAAAAATTTAAGTGCAAGACTATCCAGGATGATTCTGAAAACTGGGATAATATGGGGAGAATGAACCCAATCCAACAGTAAAATATACTACAATGTTGTGGCAAAGACAACAGTGCAATCTGGTGCATTAACATTCAGATGAAACAATGGTGCAGAGATTCAATCCAAAAACAGACTGAAACATACAGCTTCTAAATCTAAGGGTACATGAGGTAGAATGGAAAAGGGTCTGTTCTCAGAACAAGTTCAAGAGGCGCTCTCAGCTATTCTACAAAAAGGCCCACAAGAGTGGCTGAAAAATCAGATCACCAATTTGCAATTATGTCTCCTTGTATGTTTAAAGAAAACTCACTTCTGTCAGGATGACATCATCATCCAGGTCCTCTTCTTCATGTTGCTGAGGAGCTGGGGTGACCAGCATTGGAATCCCTTCCTCATCTGAGGAGTCAGATATGGTGATGGGCCCATCTCTGAGATTGATCCACTCTACAGGAAAGCAGAGAACACTGTTACCGGGACGCTGGCACTATCACATCCAACCCTTTAAGTTTGTCCTGACAAGGGTACAGCCTAAAGCCAAGTTCATGGCTACTAGCGTGTTCACTTAGCTCCTCAAGCAGTCCCTGCACTTAAGCATTAACAGCCATGTTTCTATGCTGATTTCTGTAAATAACACATTTTGGGAACTGCTAGAGAAGATCCGACAACTACTATGATCAATATTATCAACTTGTTCTCATACTAGGCTGGAGAAATCTGTTCGTAACATTTTCTTGACTGCGAATTTCTTTAAAGTAAAATAATGGTCTCTCAATCCATCTCCATTCCTCTGAGGAATAAAAGGTTATTTTATTTAAATTGCTTGGTCTGAAAAAATTATCATGCAAAAATAGTAAAACTTTATTTAAAATATTGAAATTTGTTCAGCTTAAACATAAACTTTAAGAATCATTTAAGCAAATGTGCTTCAATACTTTAGTCAAGCACCCATGTAGCATCTATGACAGTGAGCAACTTAATTTTCCTAGTTTCCTTTTAAATAGGTACTATAACCATCTAGATGCAGTAATTCTATTCAAGGTTTTTACTTCCTTTTATCAATTTGAAAACAGGCCAGGCAGGGCATGATGGCTCATGCCTGTAATCCCAGCTGAGGCGGGTGGATCACGAGGTCAGGAGTCCAAGACCAGCCTTCCCAAGATGGTGAAACCCCATCTCTACTAAAAATACAAAAATTGGCCAGGCACGGTGGCAGGCGCCTGTAATCCCAGCTACTCGGGAGGCTGAGGTAGGAGAATCGCTTGAACTCGGGCAGCAGAGACTGCAGAGAGCTGTGATTGTGCCACTGCACTCCAGCCTGGGTGACAGAGTGAGATTCCATCTCAAAAAATAAAAAAATAATTAAAAGAACACAGCATGGTCTACAAATCAAGTGTACAGTTCTGTGAATTAATACAAAAGAGCCATCTGTGCATAATCTTCACCACAAGATCAGGAAATATTTCTAGCACATTAGTAGTTTCCGTATGCTTCCCATCTCCCAATCTCTGCTCTCTTTTCGTCCCCAAAGGGAGGATTTCTAATTACACAGATAAGTTTTGCATGTTTTTGAGTACATATTCTTCTCTGCTTGGCTTTCTTGCAAATAATCTTTGAGATACATCCGTATCGCATGCTGCTGCAATACTTTGTTGTATATAACACACTATATGAAGTTAACATAAATTATTCATTCTTCTGTTGATAGACATTTGAGTATGTGGCAGTTTAGGCTATTGTAGATAACGCCATTATGAACATTCTTGTGCAAGTCTTTGGTGTACTCATTTTAGTTGGATATATTCTAGGAGTGGAAATGCTGAGTCATGGAGTAAGTATATGCTCCATTTTAGTAGACAACGCTAAACAGATTTTTCAAATTGGACCAATTTACACTCCCATCTGCAGTGTAGAATGGTATGTTGCTTTACTTCCTTACTGGAAGGCAACCATGTACATTCATTTATATACTGTCTATAGCTGCTAATATGCTTTGGCTGTGTCCCCACCCAAAATCTCATCTTGAACTGTAATCCCATCATCCCCACATGTCAAGGGCAGGACCAGGTAGAGGTAATCAAATCACAGGGGCAGTTTCCCCATTCTGTTCTTGTGATATTAAGTCTTGAGGTATGTGACGGTTTTATAAGCATCTGGCATTTCCCCTGCTTGCAGTCACTCCATCCTGCCTCCTGAGAAGGTACCTGCCTCTCCTCTGCCTTTCGCCATGATAGGAAGTTTCCTGAGGCCTCCCAGCAATGTAAAACTGTGAGTCAATTAAACCTCTTTCCTTCATAAATTACCCAGTCTCAGGTATTTCTTCATAGCAGTGTGAGAGCAGACTAATACAGTCGCTTTCATGCTACAATGGTAGAGCTGAATACTTGCAACAGAGACCACACGGCCTGCAAGGCTACAGTATTAACTACTTAGCTCTCTAAATTTGCTGAGCCCTGGTTGTGGGTACTAATTTCTCAGCTTTTCTTCTCCCTTTTTTCCCCCAGACTGGGTCTTGCTCTGTTGCCCAGGCTGGAGTGCAGTGGTGCAATCTCAGCTCACTGCGACCTTTGCCTTCTGGGTTCAAGTGATTCTTGTGCCTCAGCCTCCTGAGTAGCTGGGATTATAGGCTTGTTACACCATGCCTGGCTCATTTTTGTAATTTTAGTAGCGGTGGGGTCTCCCCATGTTGCCTAGGATGGTTTGTTTGTTTTTTTGCGACAGGGTCTCTTTTTCTCGGTTGCCCAGGCTGGAGTACAATAGCATGAATATAGTTCTCTGCAGTCTTGACCTTCTGGGTTCAAGTAATCTTCCCATCTTGGTATTCCAAGTACCTGGGACCTGGTTGACCCAAGACCACCATGTCCAGCTAATTTTTATATATATAATTTTTTGTAGAGATGTGAGTCTCACCACATTGCCCAGGCTGGTTTTGAAATCCTAGGCTCAAGTTATCTTCCCACTTTGGCCTTCCAAAGTGCTGAGATTACAAGCATGAGCTACTGTGCCTGGCTGACCTTTACTTCTTGTCCAACGTATTTTAGGCCATAAGTTTTCTTTAAAACATGGCATTAGATGTATCTCATAAATGTAATAGACCATATTTTCATTATCATATCATTCAAAATATTTCTAATTTTGATTTCTTCTTACGCTGGGTATAGAATCCCACATATGTTTATTACATTTGTTGACCATGTTCTTCCAATCTTCTATATTCATACAAGTGTGTGTGTGCTTACTTTTTCAGTTACTCAAACAAGTCTTAAAAATCCCTACTATAATTGTACATTTGTCCAATTCTGTTTTTAGATCTGCCATTTTTGCTTTGTATAGTTTTATATCATGTTACTAAGTATACAGGGATTAGAACTACGTTATCTTCCAGTACAATGAGTCTTTTATCATTATGAACTCTATCAATGCTTCTGGCTGGAGTTTCTATCAGTTTTATCTGATATTACACAGACATATCACCTCTTTCTTCTTTTTCGCTATTTGCATGATGTACCTTTTTTCATTCCTGACAAAATTTTTAAAAATCTTTATTTAATCTTCATTTCTAAGCCTATTTCCACTAGGTATAAAATCTAGATGAGTAGGTAAAAACACTATATAGCAATTAAAAAAAAAGAATTACTGATATACGCAGTAACAGGGATGAATCTCAAAAACATTATCGTTCACAAAATAATTCAGGTATAAAGAATATATACAGTATGTACATTTACATGAAATTACAAAGTGAAAAAAAGCAGATTAGTGGTTTTCTCAGGCCTAAAGTGGGGTAAGGACTGACTGCAAAGAGGCACAAGGGAATCTTGTTGGAGTGATAGAAAATGTACTATATCATAATTCTGGTGGTATATTCAATTTGTCAAAACTTATTGAACTATAAATTTAAAAAAAAAAAGCTACAGAGGTTGGTGCATAATAAAAATTGTTAATGTTGGCCAGGAACAGTGGCTCACGCCTGTAATCCCAGCACTTCAGGAGGCAGAGGCAACTGGATCACTTGATCCCAGCAGTTCAAGACCAGCCTGGCCAGGCAATATAGAGACCCTGTCTTCACTAAAGAAAAAAAAAAAAGTTAATACAGCTAATAAAAACAAAATAACACTATACATCTGAAAAAAATTCTCATGATGGGTGCAGAGCATATATAACTCGTCTAACAGAAAAATAGTGGGTGCAGAGTATACATAGCTCGTCTAACAGAAAAATGTATCTCCAAAGTCAGTAATTTTCCAAAAGGAATTAGCTGTTCTTAAAGAAACTGTTCATGTATATTTAAGATCCCATTAAAAAACAACTACATAGAGCAGAAGTCATCTTCTAGTCTTTCAGAAAAACAAAAAACAACATTAATCCGATATACACGTACAAAAAATTTTGAAATGATCATAAATAAGGGTTATAACAAGATTTAAAACTGTCTGAATCCCATAAATTATGGCTACCATTACTACCAAGTTAAAATACACTATTAATAAAATCTTAAAAATTACTCCTACTTTTGTACTCATAATTTGCATAGCTTGAGCAATTTCACTACTCTTGATTTACTTACCTCATAAAATTTACTCCATTTTAAATGCTCTGAAAGCCAAATATACAGTGGACTCTTTGGCAACACTGATTTCAACAGTGTGGGTCAACTGACTTGCAGATTTTCTTCCACTTGTGTCACTCCTGAGACAGCAGGACTGCACAGGCTTTCGGGAGCCTACCCCTTGCAACAGTGTGCCCTCAACGTGAGACATGGAGTCAAAGGAAATTATTTTCGAACTTTAAGATTTAATGACTGCCCTGCTGGGTTCTGGACTTGTGTGGGACCTCTAGCCCATTTCCTTTGGCCAATTTCTCCCTTTTGGAACAGGAATATATACCCAATGCCTGTACCCCCACTGTATCTTGAGAAAAACAAACTTGTTTTTGACTTTACAGGCTCATAGGAGGAAGGGACTAGACTTGTCTCGGATAAGCCTTTGGACTTTTGAGTTGATGCGGGAATGAGTTAAGACTTTGGGGACTGTTGAGAAGGCCCAATTGTATCTAGAAATGTGAGAAGGAGAAGAGATTTGAAAGCGGCTGGGGTGGAATAATATGGTTTGGATCCGTGTCCCTGCTCAAATTTCATATTTCATTGTAATCCCCAACGTTGGAGATGGAGCCTGGTGGAAGGTAAACGGATCATGGGGGTCATATTTCCTGAATGATTTTGCACCATCCCCTTTGGTTACAACAGTGAGTTCTTGTGAGATCTGATTGTTTAAAAGTGTGGCACCTCTTCCTCAACCCCTCTTGTTCCTGCTCCAGCCACGTGAGACACATCTGCTTCCCCTTCCCTTCTGTTGTGATTCTGCTTCCTGAGGACTCCCCAGAAGCAGAAGCTGCTATGTTTCCTGTACAGCCTACAGAATTATGAACCAATTAAACTTCTTTTTTTCTTTATAAATTATCCAGTCTTGGGCATTTCTTTATAGCCAGTCGAGAACAAACTAACACAAGGACCAACCTCCCTTCTTCCTCCTCTTCTTCAGCCCACTCAATATGAGGATGATGAAGATGAAGACCTTTAGAATGGTCCACTTCCACTTAGGGAACACTAAATAAATTTTCTTTCTCTTTTTTACAACTTTCTTAACAACACTTCTTTTCTGTAGCGCACTTTACTGTACGAATACGGTATATAATACATATAACGTATGAAACATGTATTGACTATGTTATCAGTAAGGATTCTAGTCAATAGTAAGGCTGGAGTGCAGTGGCAATTCTCCTGCCTCAGCCTCCCAAGTAGCTGGGATTACAGGCACGCACCACCACATCCAGGTAATTTTTGTATTTTTTAGTAGAGATGGGTTTCACCACATTGGTCAGGCTGCTCTCGAACTCCTGACCTCATGATCCACCCACCTCAGCCTCCCAAAGTGCTGGCATTATAGGCGTAAGCCACCGTGCCTGGCCTGGCCTGAGCCACTGCACCCAACAGAAAATTCACATATTGATACAAATATGCTAACAAAACATGGGCTAAGGGTATCATTTTTGTAAGGTCCAATGTAATTTACTCTCAGCTAGAAAAAAATCATCTTTGTAAACACAAAATATTATCAATGAGAGAAAACAAAACCAGTGTAACCTTTTCCACAGAATTTATAAGTGCAAAAAATGAACATAAGGATTGTATACCTCAGCATGAATTTCTTCCTTTTAGCACAAGTGTAAATGTGAATTCGAACTTAACAGGAAATTTCATAAACATTTAAGAATGTTACAGAAATGCAAGCACTATTCCTTTACAAATTAATAAAATTCCCCAAAACTTTAAAAATTGTACAACAGGCCGGACACGGTGCCTGATGTCTGCAATCCCAGCACTTTGGGAGGCTGAGGCAGGCAGATCACCTGAGGTCAGGAGTGAGAGTTAGATACCAGCCTGACCATACAGAGAAACTCCGTCTCTACTCAAATTATAAAATTAGCTGGGCTTGGTGGCACATGACTATAATCCCAGCTACTCAGGAGGCTGAGACAGGAGAATCGCTTGAACCCAGGAGGCAGAGGTTGCAGTGAGCCGAGATCATGACCCTATACTCCAGCCCGGGCAACGAGAGCGAAACTCTATCTCAAAATAACAAAAACAGAAACAAAAACAAAGAAACCCATAGAACAAACAAAGAAAAACATGTTCCAAAATTCCCCTAAAGGCTAAGGCAGAATATTCTGGCAAAAAAAGAAATTAAGCATCATGTGAGGACAAGCCTGCTTCAGCATCACCTGTAGTACTTCAGGTAATAAAGGTCTAGCGGAGCACTCCTTTATAATCACCATGCCTTCAAAAACTGACCCTGACACTGTCTCTTAAGACTCAATGACTGCATACTGGCAGCGTTTCACCACCAAATTAATAGCTTATTAATGTAGTTCTAATGAATGAAGTCTTAGACTTCACTCATGCCAGCGTTATCATCGTCTGATTTAATTCTAGTCTAACCAGTCTTTTTATGTCTAAAAATGAAATGTCTCTGGATTCTAAATGGTATAAAATAGGTTCATTTAAAAAAAGATATAGCTGTAACACTCAAAGAAAAAGCCACAGGGAAAGGGATAAAGTGTGAGCAAACAAAAACGTACCTTGTCCCCGATGGCAGTGAAAGTTGTTCAAGTGAATTACCTCTTCATTGTTGTTTCCCTCTGCCATTTTCAAATGCAGACATGCACATATGCAACTGCTAGTATCTAAACATGGTGACCATCTGCTTCAAAAGGTCTGAAAAGGAATCAAAGAGGAATAGTAAGAATGAGGGAGTATCAAAACTCTTACCATGTATCTGGTCAGGGGAACATATGAAGCTTACGCTGAAAACATTCCTTAAGAAAACATATGCAAGGAAGTGATTTAAAAAACACACACAAACTCAAAACGTATGTCATTAAGCGTATTTGTAAAATACTCATATTAAAGAGACAAAGTACTAACAGAGAATTCACATATTAATATAAATATGCTAACAAAAACAGGCTAAGGGTATTAATAGGCAATTCACAAAAGAGAAAACACAGAACATGCTCCACCTCACTAAAAATCAGGGAAAGGCAAATCAGAAAATGAATTGTTCCGGCCGGACACGTTGGCTCCCGCCTGTAATCCCAGCACTTTGGGAGGCCGAGTCTGGCTGATCGTATCATGAGGTCAGGAATTCAAGACCAGCCTGGCCAATGCGGTGAAACCCTGTCTCTACTACAAATACAAAAATTAGCCGGAAGTGATGGTGGGCACCTGTAACAGCTACTCAGGATGCTGAGGTGGGAGAATTGCTTGAATCCGAGAGGCAGAGGTTGCAGTGAGCTCAGATCGCATCACTGCACTCCAGGCTGGATGACACTCCATCCACTCCACCAAAACAAACAAACAGAAAAAAAAGAATTATGTTTCAAACTGTTAGCGTGGCAAAAAGGCAAGTATGTAAGAAATGGGAAATCTTATACATTGCTGGTGGTGCATGTCTGTAATCCCGTCTATTCGGAAGGCCGAAATGAGAGAATCACTTGAACCCGCTTGCAGTAAGCCAAGATCATGCCATTACACTCCAGCCTGGGAAACAGAGCAAAACTCTCTCAAAAAACAACAACAACAAAAAAAAAAATCAGAAAAAAAGACTCTTCCTAAGAACCACTTAATGCTAATAAGACATGAGTCTCCTTAAGTAGCAGAGAAAAAATAATTGTAAACTTCAAATTTTATGATCCTTAAATTATTTTCAAAAGTAAAGACAGGGCGTGGGTGCAGTGGTTCATGCCTATAATCCCCCCACTTTGGGAAGCCAAAGTGAGAGGATCCATGGAGACCAGAAACTCGAGACCATCCTAGCAAAAGAGTGAGACCCTATCTCTACAAAAAACTGAAAAAAATTAGTTGGGCATGGTGGCACACATCTGTAATCCCAGCTCAGGAGGACTGCCTGACTCCATGAGTTCCAAGGTTACAGTGAGCTATGATCAACCTACTGCACTCCAGACTAGGAAACAGAGCAAGACTCTGTCTTAAAAAAAAAAAAAAGCCTGGCCAGGCACAGTGGCTCAAGCCTGTAATCCTAGCACTTTGGGAGGCCAAGGCAGGTGGATCACGAGGTCAGGAGATTGAGACCATCCTGGTCAACATGGTGAAACCCTGTCTCTACTAGAGATACAAAACATTAGCTGGGCATGGTGGCACATGCCTGTAATTCCAGCTACTCGGGAGGCTGAGGCAGGAGAATTGCCTGAACCCAGGAGGCGGAGGTTGCAGTGAGCCGAGATTGCGCCATTGCACTCCAGCCTGGGTAACAAGAGCGAAACTCCGTCTCAAAAAAAAAGCCTGAGGATGGGATAAAACAATTTTTAGACATGCAAAGACTAAGAGAGTTTACCTCCCACAGATACTCAAAGAGCTATTAAAAAATGAACTTCAAGGCCTGGCATGGTGGCTTACGCCTGTAATCCTAGCACTTTGGGAGGTCGAGGAAGGTGGGTTGCTTAAAGTCAGGAGTTTGAGACCACCTGGACAACATAGTAAGGACTAGCTATACTAAAAATACAAAAATTAGCTGGGTGTGGAGGCAGTGGGCGTTTGTAATACTAGCTACTTGAGTGGCTGAGGTAGGAGCATTGCTTGAACTTGGAAGGCAGAGGTTGCAGTGAGCCAAGATAGTGCCACTGCACACCGGCCCAGACAACAGTGAGACTCCACCTAAAATAATAATAATAATAATAATAACAACAACAATTAGCCAGCCGTGGTGGTGTATGCCTGTAGTCCCAGCTACTCAGGAAGGTGAGTCAGGAGGACTGCTTGAGCCCAAGAGTTTGACACTGCAACGTGCCACCATTATGCCACTGCACTCCAGCGGGTGAGAGCAAAACCCTGCCTCTTAAAAAAACTAAAGACACAAAAAGCATTAAAAAGAAACATGAATCTAGGCTGGGCACAATGGCTCACACTTGTAATCCCAGGAAACCAATCCTTGGGAGACCAAGGTGGGAGAATCACTTGACGCTAGGAGTTCAAGACCAGCCTAGGCAATACAGCGAGACAAAAAATAAAAATAAATTAGCCGGGCAGGGTGGCATGGACCTATACTTCTAGCTACTCATCTGAGATCCTAGGAGGGCCAAATCTTAAGAGTTAAAAATAAAATGAAAACAGACCTAATACAGACCAAACCATGACAGGATCAAGATGATTTGCCAGTACTCTAATTTCCACACCTAAAAAAACTGAAACCACAATGAAGGAATACCATTTGGACCCTCCACTTTTTTCATTCATAATGTCCAGACTTTGATGTAAAAAAAAAAAAAAAAAATCACCAGCTGCGGTAGCTCATGCCCATAATCCTAGCACTTTGGGAGGTTGAGGCAGGAGGATCACTTGAGTCCAGGAGTTCAAAACCAGCCTGGGAAGCATAGTGAGATCTTGTGTCTATTTTTTAAAAAAAAGCTGGAACCAGTGGCTCATGCCTGTAATCCCAGCACTTTGGGAGGCTGGCAGATGGGGGTGGCTGGATACACACACACACACACACACACACACACACACACACAGAGAGAGAGAGAGAGAGAGAGAGAGAGAGAGAGAGAGAGGGAGGGAGAACTTAAATTGACAGAGCTTAAGGAAACAAGATTAATCCATTTACAGCTGGACAGACTTGAGCAGTACTATCAAACAGCTTGACCTAACTGACACTTTACCCAGTAACTGCAGAATACACATTCTTTTCAAGTGTATAAGAACATTTACAAAACAGATTGTATGCTGTGCCATAAAGCTAGCCTCAACAAATTTGAAGAGTTGAAATCATATAGCATGTCCTCTGACGGCAGTCAAAAAAAAGATAACTAGGAAATTCTGAGATGCGAGAAATGAAGCAACTTTTAAAATCCACATATTAAAGAAGAAACCACAATGAAAATTAGTTAACTATTTTGACTAAATGAACTGAAAGATAATGAAAACAAAACATATCAAAATTTATGGGAAGGAGGTAAAACAGTTATTAAAGAGCAATTTACAGTTCCAAATGCCTTATTTTAAAGAAGAAAGAGGCCAGTCATGGTGGCTCATGCCTGTAATCCCAGCACTTTGGGAGTCTGAGGCAGGCGGATTGCTTAGCTCAGGAGTTCAAGACAAGCCTGGGCAACATGGTGAAACACTAACTCTACCAAAAAACAAACAAATTAGCTGGGCATGGTGGCATGCACCTGTGGTCTCAGCTACTCGGGAGGCTGGGAAGAAATGAATGCTTCAGCTTAAGAGGCAGAAGTTGCAGTAAGCTGAGATCACATCACTGCACTCCAACCTGGGTGACAGAGTGAGACCCATCTCAAGAAAAAGAAAAAAAAAGACCGAAAATCGGCTGGGCTCGGTGGCTCATGCCTGTAATCCCAGCACTTTGGGAGGCTAAAGTGGGAGGATCAGTTGAGGTCAGGAGTTTGAGACCAGCCTGGCCAACATGATGAAAACCTGTCTCTACTACAAACACAAAAATTAGCCAGGCTTGGTAGTAAGTGCTTGTAGTTGGGAGGCAGCGGTTGCAGTGAGCCAAGATCGCACCATTGTACTCCAAACTAGGTAACAGTGAGACTAATCTCAAAAGAAAAAAAAAAGGAAAAAAGCCAGGCACAGTGGCTCACGCTTGGAATCCCAACACTTTGGGAGGCCGAGGCGGGTAGATCATGAGGTCAGGAGTTTGAGACCAGCCTGTCCAACATAGTGAAACCCCGTCTGTACTAAAAATATAAAAATTAGTTGGGCGTGGTGGTGGGTGCCTATAATGCCAGCTACTCAGAAGGCTAAAGCAGGAGAATCTCTTGAACCCGTGAGGCGCAGGTTGCAGTGAGCCCAGACTGCACCACTGCACTCCAGCATGAGCGACAGAGCAAGACTCCCCACTCCCACACCTCAAAAAAAAAAAAAAAAGACTGAAAATCAGCTGGGCCTGGTGGAGGCCAAGGCAAACAGATAATGCTTAAGCACAGAAGTTTGAGGCCAGCAAGACCCTATCTCTATAATTAAAAAAAAAAAAAAGATTACTGGGAGAAATTAAATACCAAATAAATGTATTGACATACCATATTCATGGGTTGGTATGACATACCATTTTCTAAAGATATCCATTCACTGTAAACTGATGTGTAGATTTAACACAACCTTCATCAGGTTTTAAAAATATATACTAGATGACTTTAGAATTTACAGAAAAACAGCCAAGAATAACCAAAGCATTCATAAAGAAAAACAAAAGGAAGATTTATACTAGCAGGTATTATATTAAGTTACCGTAATTAAGACAATGTTCTAGTGACAAAAGAAGGGAAAAACAGACCAAAGGAACAGATTAGATAGATTCTCCTCCCGCCACTCCCTGCCCCCAACAGAGTGTTGCTCTGTTGCTCAGGCTGGAGTGCAGTGGTGCGATCTCAGCTCACTGCAACCTCCACCTCCCAGGTTCAAGCAATTCTCCTGCCTCAGCCTCCCAAGTAGCTGGGATTACAGGCATGCACCACCACACCCAGCTAATTTTTGTATTCTTAGCAGAGATGGGGTTTCATAATGTTGGCCAAGCTAGTCTCAAACTCTTGACCTCGTGATCTGCCACCTCGGCCTCACAAAGTGCTGGGATTACAGGCGTGAGCCACACCTCCTGGCCCCAGATTCATCCTTATATGAATGTTTATGACAAAAATAGCATTGCAGAACAGTGAAAACATGAACTTTTACTATATGATGCT